TTTTGTTCTGTCCCTGGTTGTTCATGTGGGGCAAGAAAACAGCCTTATCTGTCATATGATGCGTTCCCGACGGACACGGACCAACGGAGGCAGTGGATCCAGGTGATCCGAAGAGATGAAGGTCCGGACTTTTGCATAAACACGGGGAGCACTTTCGTATGTAGCCGCCACTTCACACGGGAGGATTTTGTTAGCGGATCCACCACCAGCCGCCTTAGAAGTGGAGCTGTTCCTTTCCTTTTTGCCTGGAATAACTTCACTGCACCGGCAATGAGAGAGTCTGCTTTCGAGAGGGCTAAGAAACGGCAGTTTGTCCTCTCAGAAAACTAGTCAGGCTGAAGATGATACTGCGGACCATGATTATATGACATCCACCCCGCAGGTAAAAGATAGTACGTTGTATATATTTTCCATGTAAGATAATTTCAGTAAAATATAACTGTTGCTATAATAATAATATTATTATTATGATCGCATAATAATGAAATTATGAGATTATGTGGTTATGTATTTTGTGGAGAGATTAAGTCAATGGCATGCTCTGACTCACAACATGTATTGATCGTCACAGAAGTAATGTTTCAAATATATAATTAAAACGTATTACTAACCGTATGTTTTGATAATTTATTTTGTGGTTTTACAGGTGCACTTGATGAAGCTCTGGATTATATCAAGGAGTTGGAGGCCAGACTTCAAAAAGTGGATTTGTCTGCCACACTTTTTAGCTGCTTCTGTGCCTCTGATGACCAGATCAAGTTCTACACCAAATTTCCATCTGAATGTGTGTTCCGGATCTTTTGGAAGTCCATTGCACCCTCTACATCATGCCTGGTGTTCTGGACCAGAGCACAGAAACTTGGAGAGGAAGCATGTGCTGAAGCCAGCCCTGCCCGCTGCATGCCTCTGATTGATGAGTTCCTGATGTACTCATTCAGGGCAGCAGTGGGCATGAAGGAGCAGCTCATTGCTGACATGTTTCAAGTCAGCATAGCTACTGTCAGCCGAGTGACCATCACCTGGGCCAACTACCTCTTCATTGTGTTTTCTTCCATCAACCTGTGGATTAGTCGTGAGAAGGTAAAAGCCAGTATGCCTCAGAAATTTCTGAAGTTCTCTCCGTGTCATCTTGGACTGCACAGAAGTTGCTCTGGAAACGCCATCATCCCTCACCTTACAGTCTGAAACGTTCTCTGCCTACAAGAACCACACCACTCTGAAAGGGCTGATTGGAGTTGCTCCCTGTGGGTTGGTGACATTTATTTCAGCGTTGTACACAGGCTGCATCTCCGACAAAGAATAACGAAGGTCAGTGGAATCCTTCCTCTGCTTGAGCTGGGAGATGAAGTCATGGCAGATAAAGGCTTCCTCATTCAAGACCTCCTTCATGAAGTTGGAGCCAAACTCATCATTCCACCATTTAGGCATCCTGGTCAGTTCAGCAAGGAAGAGACAGAGGAGACCCAGACCATTGCTCGGCTGCGGATCATTGTAGAGCGAGCAATCGCTAGAGTAAAGTGCTACCACATCTGGGATTCCCCGGTGCCTCTCACTTTAATAGGAACTGTCAATCAAATCTGGCACAACTGTTGTGTTTTGGCAAATCATCAAGGCTCATTTTGTGTTGCAAACTAAATTATTTCTGTATGTTAATTGTTGTAATTCTATGTAAAAAGTTAAATGTCTAGACTTTTGCAAAAAGATATTGAATTAAAACACACTTTGGCAGCACACTTGACTTTCTTTCTGTATTAAGTTGAATTGCAAAGAAAACAAATCAAGTACAATTTACAATATCTAGTAAAAACGAAAAAAATCCATAACTATTTCATATTTTATAATTGTACACCATACATTGATTTAACAAAATACTTAAGACAACCTCAAGGAGAAAAATTTTAAAACATAAGTTTCAAGACAACTGCATTTAAGAAAACAAATTTTTTATAAACTATCCAACTGCCTTTTCAAGACATTTGCACATCTCTGTATGTTTCATGAGTAACAACCATTTACAGTGACCAGCTTGAGATTGGATATTTGAAATGCAAAGGAACAAAAGGGTTAGTTACACATTTTATAATTGTTATTGCATTGACATCGTGGAAGAGCTTGAATCCTTCCACATGTTTGTTGGTGGATGAATTAGCCGCTGCGATTTCCTCCGCATCAGCGAAAGTAAGGGCTGGCAAATTAAGTCAGGACGATGAAAAGGACCGGAGGAGGAGAGTCACTTTTCAGAGTACTTGAATTACAGTCACCAAAACAGTTCGTGCCGCAGCCCTTTCAGATACAGCTTCCGGTTGCCGTGAAAAAGGTCTATTAGATAAAGTTCTACAGTGAACAGGCTTTGAATGTTCATCAGAAACTACACCATAAGGAAGAAAAGACAGGAAGTAAAGAAAGAAAGAAAAAAGGCACCAGGAAGGACACAAACAACTTGAGGGGTAAAAAAAGTGAGGTAGGACACAGAGAAGGAAGAGAGAAAGAGAAAGGAAAGATGAAAGTGATCAAGGAGGGAAGGATGGACGATAAGACAGGAAGGTGTGAAGGATGGAAAGTAGGAAGGAAAGAAAAAGAGAAAGAAGGAAGGAAGGGAAAAAGGAAGGAAGGAAGTCAGTGATATAGTGTGGCAGATCCTAACCAGAAGGTTTTAATGATCTTTTATGCTTTAGGGATTTGTTTCTCTTTGAGCGTCTCGTCGCAGGTGCAGAGCAGAGGCCGATCATGAATCATTTCATCAAATCAGAGCTCAACTGATTGAGAGTTATCGACGGCGTCCCACTTTCCTGTGGCATGGCTGAGCAGGAACAAAGAGCAGCGGCTGCCTGGTGATGGGCTGCTCAACAGATGGCGATGGAAACCCTCCTCCTCCTGCTCCTCCTGCTCCCCTGTGCTTGTGTCAGCGGTTAAAAACCATCCATCAATCACACACTGGAGCAGTCGCTCCGCCAGACGATCATATGTGAATGAAAGGCGCTTCGAACCAAAACAAAAACTTCATTCAAGGGTTGCTTATTGGTTTATGTCGTTCGCAAATGCTGAAAGTACAAATCCTGGCTTGGTGAGCTGTCTGTCACTCACTTTCCTCACTGCTCCTAATTCAGGATGATGTTCCCAATCTAAGCACTAAACCCGACGCCAAGCCTTTAAATAAAACCGCAGCTAAGCCTTTTATAGGAAAAACCTCCCTCATGATCACTTCCAGGAAAAAGAAAGCGGTTAAATCATTTAAACTTTGGTACTTTGTGAAGCTCAGTTAATTGTACGTTAAATGTGGTTAGATCAGCGTGTGTCACATTACAACCACAGATGCTCCTGTGTTTTATTAGGATTTTATCCAATGCGCCGACAGAGAGTGTTGTGTAAATGTGAAATGTCAGGGAATTAGAGAAAGGTTTCAGCGTTTTAAAAAGCAGGATGTGCATTTAAAGTACAACTAGATTTGGCTGCAATTATAAGAGTCTGTCTCTATCAGACAGTAGTGCTACTCTTAAATGTATAAAATGCCTGTGTACTGAACCCCCCTTTGGTATCAACACGTCTTAATCTCTGGTTTTGGGATTATTTCTCTTTCCTTACTGTGAGGGATTTCACTAACAGGTGCTGTATTTTGTACTTTCTGTATCCTAACTCATTTAACTGGTAGATGTATTGGTTTTGTTTTGTCCTGATCATTCTCTCCTTCTCTTTGAGGTCACCGGGTCACGTGTTGCCATGGAAACACACCCATGATCAGCAGGACCTGGTGTTTTCAATCAACCTCGCTTGGGAAAATCTACATTGTTTGAGAGGGAAGCGGAGATGCTTTGGATTTGGTTTGGGCACAGATTGTGTTTTTGTTTTGAATTTATTAAGGTTAATTGTAATTATGCAAATGTGTTTCTGGAAACAGATTTGAGTCGATTAGATCTGGTATAAGCTAATGATTTAAAACCTGGGTGGCTCTGATCAGGGAGACTCTCTCTTCTGCTGATGGTTAAATTCACATTTTGCTGTGAAACGGTAACAAAGTGTTTTCTTGCATTTTTGGTGGGCATCGTTTTGTTGCTTTGGCCAGTTTTCAGACCTGAAAGGAGTTTGACACAGATCTCAAACCAACACAGAATCCTTTACTCTGCATTATGTTCTAGATAATTGTTCAGTCACGTTTATGATCGGATACATTTACTGCATTTCAATGAAGGAGCCACCGATCACCACTAAATAGCAGTGGTTTTATGCTCAGTGGCTGAAAATGTTAAATGGTAGAAAATTATTTAAGAAAATGTTAGTTTTATCTACCATTTTAATGAAATGTATTCTGTTAGTTTACATGCCTGGCACCTTTTAAATTTGCTAATATTTGTATTAGTAATATCTTTGATGTGCAGCTTTGGTTTGCAGACAGCCCAGTGTTTTCACCAAAACCAGAATCAAAAGAATCATTTTTAATGGGTTCAATTAAAAAATGAACTTCTGCCTAAAACAAAAGTGCGACTCATTATGGCTGCAAATAAGACTTAATTATCAGAATAGGAGATACACCTATTCTTCTTGCTGTTATGCAAATACAATCTGTATTTATCAAATAAAAAAAGCACAAATCCAATTATTTACTGCAATAGTCACTAGTTATTTCGAAGTGACTTACAACATTAATAAAAATGTGCCATTTTATCAGTTCTCAGTGTTGCATACAAACTGGGACAGACTACAGGCAGTAGTAATCTGATTACTTCAGCTAACAGATTAAGAGGTCAAGCAGGAAGAAAATCTGTGCTTTTGGTCTTGATCTTAAACGAAATGAATAAAGGAAAATGTAAATTGACACGTTACAAAATCTGACATACTGATTATTTAAATAATCATAAAAACACGACTCAAAAACTACTAGGTTTTTGCTGAGCTACAACTAATTTTAATATTATAAATATTTAATCCGTGGTATTTAAGCCAGAGTATGTAACAATATAGAAACCTGAATAATTCAGCTGTATTGAATCAAAGTGACACAGATCAATATTACAAATGTTCCTTTAATCAAACAGTTGTGATAGTAGCCTCCTCTTTTGCAATACATCTTTCTCTAAATAAACCAAACATATTATCAACATTATAATATTGATAAAGTTTTCACATCAAGCCTCTGCAGTGGTTTGAGCATATTCTGAAGAAAACAAATAGTCCATATGAATTTAATCTGCAGCGTCTGGGTATGTTTATACTCAGATTACATGTTTTGTCTACAAGTATCCAAGAATGCTTGGATCAGATTGCAGATTTATTCATCAACATCAGTAAATCAGTTCATTCTGCTGCAGAATAACTCCAGATGAAGCAGGGAATCCTCAGTGCTTCCCTGGTTTTCCTCTTCTCTTCCCTCCTCCTCCTCCAGCTTTCCCCCCTTTCCCTTTGGGCCCCTTCCCTTTCCCCTTGCCTCTCCCCGCCATGTTGCCTTTGCGCCCCTTTCCCCCTTTTCCCCCAGCGCCCTTCCTCCGCCGGGCCGCAGCCTCCTCTCTGTCCTCCTCCCTCATCTGTGTGTTCACCGCCTTGGTGATATCCAGCTTGGAGGTCTTGGTGCCCATGACCTTCAGCAGCTCCAGCTGCTTCTGCTTCTCGCTGGAGAAGTCGCCGATCAGGGGCTCGAACTTCCTCTTCTTGCCGGAGTTCTTGGGGGGTTTCTCTTTGGGCAGGCGGTCCTGGAACCTCCCCACGGACGCTGTGGAGGTCTTGGCCACGCTCACGGCTTTGACCAGCTCGTCTTTGGACTGCTGGGCTTTGGGCAGCAGTCCCTCTCCGGGGGTTTTGACTTTCTGCGCTCTGGCGATGTTCCTCAGGCGGTTCAACTCGTTTTTGGCCACCCGCTCCTTCTTGGCCTTTATCCGCTTGGCGAACTGGTCCTCGTTGGGGTCCGCGGTTTCCGGGACCTCGATCAGCCAGTCTTTGGTGTCGTCTTTGGCCCGCTTGTAGCCCCAGCGCCTCCTCCACTCCTTGGCGGTTTCATCCCACACCAAATTAGTCTTCTTCTTCTTCTGGATGCCTTTCAGCTTGGCGAACTGCTCCCACTTGGTCGGGGCTTTGGGCTTCGGCGGGGGCTTTTCTCTGGGCAGCCGGGTGGTCTGCTCCGGGAGTTTGGCCACGATAACCTCTTCCACCCTCTCCGTGGGCAGTTTCCATATCTCGTTGATGAGAAGCTGCGTGTTGTCGCGGGCCAAGGCCCGCAGGAACTCGTCTCTCTTCTTCTCCCTGAAGTCACAGGGCTCGACGCGGTTCTTGTCGCAAGCCAGGAGGTTCCCGACGTCAAACTCCAGGTCCAGCTCCTTCTGGACCGAGACGCTCTTCAGCCTCTCGGCCTCCTCCTGGTCCGCTTTGGCCAACAGCTCCTCCACGCTGCACGCGGCCATGTTGGTCGGTTCGCAGTAGAGCACGTGAGGAGCAGGAAAAAAAACAAAAAGACACGAACATTTATTTCCGGGTCATGTGCGGACGGAGTGTGTTCCCATTATGACCACGTGGTGGCAGTGTTTCATCAAATATCCCCTGTCCTGTTGAGCAGGTTCAAACACAAAGCTTCAGTGTTTCCATGTTTTGAATGTGCAACATGGAAATAACTGACTGGGAAGGAAGGATGGAAGAAAAGAAGGAACAATTTTAAGAAAAAAGTTTGATGTAAGGATGCAAAAGGGAAGAAATGATGGCAGGAAGACGATATAAAGGGGAACGGAAGAACGAATGGAAGAAAGGAGTGAAAGAGAGGACAAATGTTAAAGAATGGAAGTAAGAGGAGGGAAGGAGTTTCATTCATTATTGATGGCATAGAGGATTGGAGGAATGTGGCAAAAAAGGAGGAAAGAGACTGACAGTGAGGGAAGAATAAAGGTCATGAAGGAAGGAACGAGAGGAAGGAAATGACTGGATGAATGAAGGAAGAAAGTAGAAAAAGAACAAGAGAAGAAAGGGTGGAGTGAGGGTAGGATGGAAGTAAGAGAAGGATGAGGGAATGAAGAAGGGAAAAAAGAATGAGAGAAGAGATGGATGAAAGAAGGGAAAAAAATCAGGAAAGAACAAACAAAGGAAGTCCAATCTTTATTCACTCAAGATTGGAGCAAATAAAGGAACAAAAGAATGGAAGGAGAAAAAGTTGATATGGGGTTGGAAACAACCACACTTTTTAATTCGGGTGTGTTGAGGCAGATTCACATCTAAAAGATGCGGGACACCTGAAGACGAGATCAAAATCGCTATAAAGTTAAAGACGCACTGAACTCTTGATATAAACTGTGTTGCTAATTGTTCAGGAACGATAAACAGGCTGCATAAAATAACTAATTCCCATGTTTATAACCAGCCTTTTAAAGACACTTGCTGCTGCACTGCCTAGTGTAAGTTCATTTATATTCTCCTGGCTTTGTCTGTTGATGCGAGGAGCTTTTTGAAGCACTGGCAACATATGGAGGAGCAGCACATCAGGCTGTGGATGTCACTGAAGTACTGATTTGAGATGACAACTCCCAAAAGCTGTTAAGCTGAAAGGGATGAAAAGGGAAGGAAAATAGAATCGTCACCCCCCCAAAAAAAACACAAACAAAAACAAAAAAAGCATTAGTTTGGAGAAAGCCATTGTCTAGGATTGATGTGTAGACTGAAGCTTGCTCTCTACTGTATTGTTTTCAAACTGAAACCAAATCTTAATTATGTTAAAGATAATTGGTTGTTTTGGCTCCTTTGGGGAGAAGAAAGTAAATTATAGAGCAACAACGCTTGTAATGACAAAACATTGGGATGTTGTAAGAAAGCTTACAATTGTTACCCATAGCAAGATTATTATTTTTTTTCTAGTTGTAGGAGTGGAGATCAATAAATACATTTTCTGAATTTAAACCTAGTCGAGAAAATATAATCCATGTTTTTGTAACATCTCCAAAGATAGAAAATCCAAAAAGGAAGCGATTCGTCATTAATTTTGTCTGCAGATTATTAACCCACAAAATTCTTTTATTTAAACCACACAATAAATAAAGAAGAATAAGAACAAGATGAAACGGAGAGGAAGAAAAAGCTGTTCTATTATTAGGCGAGAAAATCTACTTTGGTGGCACAATGACGGCAAACACAGAAGGTGGTACAGCACTTTTGCAGAGCAGCAGCAGCAGTGCATCATCTTCACAGGATGTCTTCAGGCAGCGCGTTGAGTTGTGGAAATCCTGAGAGCCTCATCAGCACAATAGCACGGCACCACATGACACAGGTAGATCCAAAAGTTTGGGTTTAGAACAACCCTTTTGTAGGTAAATATTTACTTACATTGGACAGAGTTGGGTTTGGGTTGGGAACTTTAGAAAAACTGAAAAAAGGGTTTTCATCCTTAGAGCACAGAATGTCATAAAGATAGCCAAATACAGGATTTTAATCTTTCATATTCTAAACAAAATGTCTAAAAGCTAAATACATTTCTTTAGCTCACAACAATAAATGCATGTTTCTATTTTAAATTTATGGCACATATTTTGACAGTGGTCATGCTATGAATATGGAACCTGAAAAAAATGGCTCTTCGGATTGTAGAGTCATTTTGACAATCCAAGAAACATTGTCTCTTTACAATCAATCAGAACATTACATTACATTAGTCAGAACATTCTCTGATTTATGTTCTCCACCTAACCTGGAGAACATTAATCAGAGAAGAAGCAAAGACACCCAAGGAGCTGGAGCAGCTGCAAAGATTGTACTGTAGAGCTCTGAGCTTGACAGATGATTTGCATTGTGTAGCATTAAGTACGAATTATTTCAGCAGAGGGTTTTCATGCTTTTGTTGCCCCTGTAATTTGATCTCCATAAAAGGTAGGAGCCAAGCTCAAATGGCCAACTTAAAGGAGTTTTAAAAAACACAATTTGGTTAATATTCTACTCAAAAATTACAGCAATGACCCGATGATCAGGTGACTTTATCTCTTGATAATCTATGCAGATGAATATATTCACTCACCACAACACGCTTTGCCTTATCAATAGCTTGAAGTGACTGGACAGATGGATAGATTCCTATGGAGTAAAGTCTTTAAATTCAGTAGTTATTCTGAGAGAGTAGTTTGAACAAGTATAAATCCAATCAACTGCGAAACATGATTGTCCACCTAAACTGGAGAACATTAATCAGAGAAGAAGCCAAGACACCCAAGGAGCTGGAGCAGCTGCAAAGATCCTAAGCAACCGCTGAGTGGTCTGGATAAGAACCGGTAAATGTCTGGACAAGCATGGACTCCTTCTCATTTCTGATGCTTCACATTTTGTGGATTTATTGGAGTGGTTCTTCTTGGACCAGTTGTCTTGCACATATGAGACTGTTATTTGCCAATTATCACCTTTTCAAGAAATGTTTTCATTTAGGAAAATCTGTTTATTTGGTGTGATAATTTTATCCTAACAAATCTGGGAAAGCAAATTACTCACTTTAGGAATTCCTAAAGGATTATGTACCGTCTTATGGGCCAACGTGAAATTACCCATAACCATTTCCACAGTATACCTATTAACCAAGCTTTTTGAGTGCCTTTACTGAACCACTTTGTGCTAGTTTTTTCCCCCTTGTTATTTAGGGTATTTTAATTAATTTGTTTGTATTTTTTGTTCTGAACATTTTATTCTAGCCCCTTGGTTCTTGATTGGGCTAGTTGGTCAATTTTTAAGTTTCTTTCCATTTAACAATATACTCTACTTTATGTACATCTGTCTCATAAAATCCTAATGATAACTTTGAAGTTGGATGTGAAAGTGGAAACTTCAGAGGAGCAAATTTGCAATGATAAGTTTGAAAGACAAAGTTGTCACATGGATCGAACTTCAAATTATCACACACTTTCTATACTAACTCTACACTTTACACAATGAGTAAGGCCTTAAAGGACCTCAAGCGGAAACTGAGGAGGAGGATAAAAGCTTTGCTAATCAAATACTCGTTTTTGTTTTGACAAAATTGTGACCTACTGCAGCTTGGTGGAGACCATGACTCAAAAGATCATAGGGTGTAAGTGATGACATCAATGTAAAAAAAAATGCCTCCACTGTGCTGCAGATTACCAAACTGAGGGACGACCTCTGCAACTTCCCACATCACCAAGCTCGACCGCGCTCTGCCTGCGTCCAGCGTCCAGCATGGAGCCACTTCAGCACACCCTCACACGAACACATACGCAATGCTTCTGCTTGCATGGTCAGACCCCCTCTCTCCTATACACACACACACACACACACACACTTGGACATAATGTTGTTGGAATGATATCTCAAGGACTCTCCATGCCATGCTGGGTCCAGGCAGCCGGCCAGGTTTTTGGGGGTAGGGCTGAACTGGACGGAGAAGGGCGGCGCTTCCAGGAGATGAGAGCTCTGTTTCCTGCTCAGTCATCTGCAAACATTACCCCTGCCGTCTCCTGGCTTCACAAGACTGGGTAACGCTTGCTCACAACAAGGGGTGCAGGTTTACATTCTAGCCTCTTTTGGAGTTTTAAATGAAAGGCGAAGCCATTGTTAACAAGCATTCCCTTCGAAGTGGATGATCAAGTTAATTCTCTGATCTGTCAGAGTGGAAGCAGCAGGTATCTGTGAGGTGCTGCTCTTTGCCAAATGATATTTCTGTCCCAACTTCAGATCAATAAAGGCTCTGACCTCAACTGTCAGCCAACTAAACTCTGTTCAGGATGGGACACTGAGTGGTATGGAAACAGGAAGCAGAGGCAGGAGGAACAAAACTGGCTTTTGTTGTGATATTTACCATGGAAATACATTTAAAGTGCTATTAAAAAACATTTGACTTCTTAACCATTTTATTTACGGTGTGCACTTTCTTCAGTCTTGAATGACAAAGACAAACTGTGTATCTGGAAAAGAGGCTACTTTCATTTACTAAGGAGCAAAGCTATCCAAAACAACCTGACCTGATGTGAAAGAGTGAACCTAATAACCACCATCCTTAATGGCAACTTCTGCAAACAGTGGCAGTGAGTATTAAACATCACTGTAAATTCATTTTGGCCCACTCACCTCAGAAAAATGTCAAAACTTTAGAAAGCAAGAATTGATTAGACACAATACAAAATATTAGTGTTTCTGTAAAGTTAGAGCAGAAGCGGGTTGGTCAAAATGCTCCGACTATAAATCATTTTCATTCAACAATATCAAAATATGACGGGTGAGTTGTCCGGTGGGTTTCATAAACATGGTTTTAGGTTGTCAGACAGGGTCAATTTAAATGACTTATTGATCCTACAGATTAGACAGCATCGTCACCCATCATTCCCATCTTCCTGCTCTGATACAATCCATGCCTCCGCCCACTTAAATTATTGTGAGACGGACAGTCGGGCAGACAGTGAAGTAAATCAAATTTCCTCTTGTTGCCAGGTGTTGTTGCTAAAGT